AACACAAGATGGGGACACACTGCAACATCTTTTCCCAAACTGACATATCTCCCATAAAGTCATTAGGGAACCATTAATATCATGGACACACAATCCTACTGAAAATCAGATGTACAATGACGTATTTTTACTTCCAGTCCAACCTCCATGCTCTTGCAGTACATGAAAATCCCAAGCACTATTTTTTGTCTGATCATGACAGTCAGAAATATGGAGCGATACTTCTCTTGTATTTCTCCCACCTGCTTGTCTGTGTGCAGTACACAAACACAAAAAGAAACCAACTGCAGTGATGCATTTAATGATTATAACTTTTTATGATTTACTAGCTGATTTTTTCCATTGTATGAGTGTTTCTGAGACATTTTTATTATTTTACTTTTTTTTTCTCTAATTTTTTCAAGGGTAGGTACTGATTAGACTTAGCTGAGAATCTTTTCAGAAGATGTCTCAATTCAAAAAATATGTTTTGCAGACATTTTAATGAGCTTTTTAATCAGTTATTTTATTTTTGTAAGGCCAGCAGGATATTCTGATTAAAAAAAAAATCTCAATGTATGACTTGATGAAAGGACTAGAATAGAAATTTTGTATTTTAATGAGCAATTTTGCTTGTTGGCCGTAGCAAACTATACTCACTTTTAGGCATTTTGAAGCCACTGGTCATGAATATTTGGATTTGTAAGTTAGAAGGTATCACTGCTGAGCTTTGACTGGATGACAGGACCACTTAGAGCAGGAAAAAAAATAAAGTAGCTCCTAACATGATTGATTCAGCAATTGTGCTCATGTTTGCATTCACTACAAACCATAGCCTTTGCCAGCAAAATTCCAAGAATGTATGCAGAAAATCAACAAAGATAATAAAAATAAACTCAGAAGCATTTAGATAAAGCATTTATCTAACATCTACTGCATTCTCTTTCCCTAACACCAATCACATTAGTAAGCACTATGCTAGCAACATTAAACCATATAGATTAAGTTGTTTACTTGCTGGACTAATATCGCTTGGAATACTCCTTCCTAGCAATTATAGTATTTTCATGCAGTACAGTTCCAGAATAACCAAGCACCATGCTAACTTTCATGAATTTTCCTGTCAAAATAACAAGAACCAACCAAAAAAATAACAAAAAAATATAAAAAAAATGTAAATATAGTGCAGAACTGCAGCATCCTTGAGGTGTATGCAGTGTGCATGCTTTAACGTTGTCACCAGGCACACAGAGTTGAGTGCATTATGCTTTCCTCAGTATACCACTTCCACATAACTAGATTATGCAGAGAGACATGTGATAAGATACCCTAATTACAGCAATTATTAGAAATGACAATTTTACTACAGCCCTTTACACTAAAGACTGCCTAACACACTTAATTTTAAGGGTTTATCTGCTCATCTCTTCCTCACACTCCAGATACATTTCTCCATAATCTCCTTCATCACACTTGCAGATGTCAGAGCATTACTCACAGCTGAGGGTAGAAGAATAAAAAGAGGGGATGAGCTCTGAAGGAACAAAGATCCTATTTTCATGTTAATGACTCCTTTTAATGAAATAGATGATGGAAGAACACAAAACACCTGTGAGCTACAAAGAGCAGAGTTGTCTCTACACAGAGCTTTTTCTCTTAGCTATGCAGTAGGCATCGGCAGATCACTTTAACGATCTTCAGAGGTTTAAATTTCTCTAGAGTGATAGTAGGAGAGAATGTTTCACAGAGCAACCAAAAGTAAGTGAATAGAAAATTCTCTTGGAAACAGACATAAGACGTTAAATGTTTCTCTGGCAGCACTTGCAGCAGTCTTTTTAAAACTAAAATTAGCAAGCCCACTGCTGATTATTCAAAAGACTTAGAGTGAATCATAGAATCCTCAGAGTTGGAAGGGACCCTTAAACACCATTTGGTTCAACTCCCCTGCAAAGAGACACATCTGCAGCTCCATCAGGTGCTCAGAGCCCCATCCAGCCTGATCTCAAGTATCTCCAGGGACAGGAAATCCACCCCCTCTCTAGGCAACCTGTGCCAGTGCCTCATCACCTTTACTGTAAAAAACTTCTTCCTTATATCCAAACTAAATGTCCCCTTATTCTGTCACAACAGGCCCCGCTAAGAAGTCTGTTCTCTTCTTTCTTAACCCCCCCCCCTCCCTCTAGATACTGAAAGGCCACTCACAGATCTCCCTGAAGCTTTCTCTTCTCCAGGCTGAACAGCCTCAAGCTCTCTCAGCCTGCTCTCACAGGGGAGGTGTTCCATCCCTTGGATCATCTTTGCGGTCTTACTCTGGACGGAGTGACCCAGAAACTAACTGGTAAACCAACGTAACAGAATAAAATGCAAATACAAATATCAGCAAGAAATCAAGAGAATGCATCTTTCAATCAACTGTTCAAATTCTTTTAGATGGAACACCCTCCAGATGTTCCTTCCTTCCAGTAAATGAAGCCTTTCTGAAATGTTGGAATATAGCCTTCATTCTCCACAGAGAATATAAAGCCATCATTCTCTGAACAACACGTCGTGTACTGGTGGATCCCTTCAAATCTGTTTGATTTAGAAAAAGGAACAGGAGAGAGAGTCCCTGTAGGCTTATTTCCTTGGAAATTTGTGACTTTGAGACATTTTCCTTTATATTAATTTCTGCCCTCAACAATAACTGAAAGTCAGCATTATGCCTTCAGTTTGATTAAACTCTGCATATAATAATAATTTCTCAAAAAACAAGCATGAGGCACCGAATGACGCTCTACCAAACCTATTCAAGAGCTCTGGATATACAGATACTGCTGTAGAATTCTGGATTTTTACTGCTCATCTGCATCGGCTTATGTCCCAATTACCTTTCATTTTCTTTGTATGGAGGGTCAGCAGGGGCTACACTGTAAATGCAAAGGGCTGCCCTTCTGATTCAGAACTTCAGTGACATGGCGTAGAAAAAGCATGTTGCTCTAAATTACACATCTGTTTTCTATTGTGGATCTTTATGAGGCCTGGCAGTGGCCGTATAATTGGAGTTGGTTTTATTTTCCAAGGCAACGATGACCCCAGTAAATAATCCGGAACAAGATTTAACAGTGTCTCTATAAGCCACATTATTTTTAATTTTGATAGTAGAATTATAGTTTAGTTTACACTGAGGTATATTACCTAAGGGACATTTTGTTCAAGGTGAAAATACAGAGTTGCAGTTTCATGTTTTGTTTATGGCTATAGGGAATTAGATGGGTGGTTGGAACATCTTTTCATCTATTCAGCTTCTTGTTTGCCTTTGAAGCTCCAGGTCTTCTCTTATTTGTAAGGTTCTAAGAGGCCTTCAAAGTCGGAGCTCCACAAAAAGGAAAAAACGATCATTTTCATCATTATTCTTATTCCAGGATCTATCTGCTCAATTTACGATAAACCATTACTGTAACTAATGATGGGAAACTTCAAAAGGTTTGGAGTGAAGAGCAGGACACAGAGATTCAGGAACAAGGACAATCATTCCCCTTCTCTCCTTCTCTGACCTTCTTCAGCCAGTACAGTTTTGTTGGCTTTCTCAACAACTAGATCAGCCAGTTTCTGGATTTTCCACTATTATTAGCCCAGAAATATCAAAACACGTAGATGGGCTGTGTTTGTATCTGACACTTAGAAACCCTGTTAGCAGCCCCCTGGGAATAAAATGGGGGTGACATAAATACGTGTATACAAACACAGAAAAGCAAGCCTAAATTTAAAGTGGCTTTGAGCTTGCAAAAGCCTCAGCTAATACAGATTCTGATTAGGAATTAAAAATCAGGAGCAGCAAACAAAATTTTTGGTCTATATCCTTTGCAAACCAAATATTAATTCAGCTTTGAAGTAAATTTGACCTACAGCTCTTACTTCTTTCAGAAATTAAAAGAAAATATTTGACCAAACCACTCCTTAGTCTTAGTACGTTCAAAACCTAAGGAACAGGCACAAACTTATAGTTTAGTAGTCACCTATTGGGATTTCACTTTAATCATCTGATTCATCACGTCCTGATTTCAAAATGCCTGTTTTATCCAAAGGTTTTGTTTTAAAGTCCAGATTCACGGGACAAGAGCCAGCATCTGCTCACAGGTGAACTCCCACCTCCAGATAGAGCTGGCAAGAACTCCTGAAAATTGATGTCAGTGTAAGCAAAAAGGAGAATAAGCTTAAAGACAAACAATTAAACTTCAATTTTGGTTTAGTCTAAGAAAATCATATTTACAAGAAAATAGAGCAGTGTCTCCTTGATTCTTCAACTTTCACCCACACGTGCAGTGAAGATTAGAGCTTGTGACAAAGAGCTTTGAAATTTCTTTCAAGTAACCTTGGCACCAAACTCCAAAATGTTTCACCACTGCTGTAACGGATTGACATTCAAAGATTCAGTAACAGGACTTATGCAATACAGCTCATCCACAAAGCTTGAACTCAGACTGGAAATCTTGGCACAGCAGCCTACAAGCAGTATTACAAAGTGATTTAAGCTCACAGAGAAGAATTGTGTGTGCCTACTTCAGTGGTCTTTAACTTCCCCATTTTCAGGGATTGAACTAGGTCTAACAGCAGTTAAAAGCATAACATAGTCACTGGAGCTAGTGATGTTCACTGTCACCCGTGGCAGAAAAGCTATTGTCTTCAGAGGCTTCAAGATTTCACTCTGAGTGCAAGCAAGCTTATGCTGAATTTAGTTAAGTTTCAACCCAAAATGTATACAGGAAATTGCAGAACTCTCCCCCTCACAATCAATGCTTTCTTCAGACTCAGAATATTTCAGTTGTGCATCATTCTTAGATCAAAGACCCTACTTTCAAGTGCTATTTAAACACAAGACAGCAGGAATAATGCCCCTTTAATGCCAGTTCAAAGTTAATCCCAACAACAAGAGATTGACAGTGATGCAGACTGCATTCAGCCACACTGCCTTCAATCTTTCATTTCAAGATCTCTGTACCTATGGGGAAATTCTGCCAGGGAAAAGAGGTTTTTGCTCTTACCAGTAGAACCTGTTTGGTGCAACTCCTTCATGAAGAAGCAGCCATCTTCTGCCAAACTCCACTGAGCTGAATAACTGGGGACAAAAAAAGAAACAAACAAAAAAACAACAAGAAAACAGTCAAAAATCACCATAAAACTCAACGGCAATAGAGAAATCAATCTGAAAGTCTGAAGAAGTCTTCTGAGACAGGAAGTCCAGGTTTTGTTTCCTCCAGTCTTACAGGATATGTCTGGGACAGTTGAAAAGCATCTGCAGTGATTTTTAGGGTGGAAACCAAGTGGGGCAACATGGGACACAACTGCTGTTACCTTAGGGATCACAACATACTAGTTCACTGTGGCAACAAAATAATGCAGTGTGAGAAGGCTGCCTGTTATGTTAAACTTGTGATAGACTCCAGATGTGGAACGTAACACAGAACTTTGATATCCTAACCTAGCTCTGACAACAGATACACAGACTTGCTTTCCTTGATATTGCATCAGAAGGTCAATCTCTTCCTAGTTACCAGTCACCATCTTCAGAAAAGTTTTTCAGTGTGGAACACAAGAAATGCCCTAATACATCCAGATTTTGCATGCAGGACTGGTTGAGTCGAAATAGTACAAACAACTTGTACCATGGAAACCTGCCATTCTCACTTTGCTCCTGCAAGCAATGTGACACAGTCTTCTAGCCTGATTACACAAACAATAACCAGATACATCAATCACATCAGAAAATCTTTCAACAATAAATACCAAGTAAGACTGAGAAAGGTCAGCAAAAAAAGACACATACAGGTATTATAAATACTTGGTATGTCTTTGTGGAATAATATACAAATGTGACTTTTATAGAGCACTTACAAACAGCTGCTCTCCATAAATGCTGCCATCGGATAATTCTCAGAAGAACAGCAGAGGATCATTTGGGTTCTGTTTTTCTTTGCTTTATTTTACTTCACTTTTTTTCACATAGAAACACAGAGAGGCAATCAGCCCTATATTTTTTCTTGCAAACTCATTCTCTTGTCTGACAGACATGGTCAATTTCTTCTTTGAAAGGAGTTGTTGAACCTTTTTCTTGACTTCAAAGAGACTTTGTTAAAAATGCAAGCAATCTGAATCTTTATGTGCAATTTTTGATTGATTTTTTTGGAACATGTAGTGGCACTGGATTGGGATAAGACAAGGATGGAAGCCCAAGAGAATCACTGAGGAGACAAGCTGATATTAAAGCTCTTGACCAGAAAGATTATTTGAATATATTTTAAAAAATATGTGACCATGATTTAAGAAAACTTGAGATCCACTTTTTATTCTGCATTACATTGCCATCACAAATCACTACGTCCCTCGGGTTCCCTTCTTTAAAACCTTGGAATAGCATGGAAAAACTAATAACGTCTGTAACAGCTGTTTGATAAAAACTATACTGCACATATACTGAAATCTACTATGAAGCATTAAAGCTGGTTATTCACCTCTTTTTTCTCATCTCATTTTCTTCTTCAATATTGCCAAAGAAAAGACAGGGAAGAAAGGAGGGGAAATAGAAAATAATCAGGTCAGGCAAAGGAAACACAGTTTAGCTTTTCAAATGGAATTGCATAATAACCTCTTGAAATTTCAGCGGTGAATCTCTGACTTCTCATTAACTATAAATATATTTTTATTTGAAACGTTAATATTCACTAACCCTAACAATAAAAGGAGAAACCTCATTTATCTTCTAGAACACTTAACAATAAATTTTTGAAGGTGCTCTAAGGTCACCCGATCAAGAGCATTGCTAATACTGGATGCATTTATTCCTCCTTCACCTCCAAAGTCCATTTCCAGATGTGCTTTCATGATTGCATAGTACAAACTAATATATGATCACTGTTACCTGTCTTACCAATACCAATATTTTCCCTTTTATGGCAAAGCGGTTTCTTCAATGCCAAGTAATGTCTTCATAGTATAGAGTAATTTAAACTTTAATAAAGTGGATATTGTCTCAAAGATCAATATGAAAAACTCAGTAAACACTTCTGCGCTTCCAGACCCATATGTGGGATGCAAGATTTCCAGGGACACTGATGCTCTCAGAGAGCTGGAACCATCACAGTAAGAGTTGTTTTTCCCCCTTTATGTCCCACCCCCTACTCTCTCTCCAGTTTCCCTGAAGACAACTTTCAGAAAGTTACCACCTTTTAGAATTTATCATTGTTAGTAACAATAACCTAAAATAATTTATCATGGCTGGCAGAAGCTTTATTTGTTCTTGTATAGCATCCTTCTTCATGCCTACAATCTCAGTGCAGTACCAAGTTGTTGAACATTCCCACCACCCCAGCTCCCCCTGGCTCTTTCAGCAGAAGTATTTGGAGGGGCTGTTCGTTTGGCAAATCTGTGATTTCTGTGGCAGAGAGGAGCAGTGATGCTGCACTGTTCCCAGGGAAACCTGTTTTCTCTTACTGTGTGCCCTGAACAAAAGACATGAGTGAGGAAAAAGGAGAGAAATGCAAGACTGGCGTTTGTTTCAAAGGGAGGAAATAGATACAGCAATTCTACTATGTCAGTATTTTCCTCTCATAATAGAAGTCAGTGCCCAGTGAGCTGGGAAAAGTATATGAGAAAAGGAAATAGCTCTCACAGGGAAATATCAGATCCCTGGGAATTCATGCCCAAAGCTCTTATTGTCTTTGAAGAGACAGTTTAATAACCAGACTTTAGAAGTTTTTATTCCTTTGCCATTATCTCAGTACCAATCTTAGCCTTCACTGATTCACAGCAGCATCAATGTACTTTCAGAAGAAGGGGAATCCCCCTATTAGGTGCCATCCCCAACAAAAGGGAAAACATTCTTTACATTAAGGATATTTTTTTTCCAGATATTTTAAGTATCAGTCAGCTTAGCCTGAGTTTATTTAGTTAGACCAGGAGAAGAAAAAAAAGAAATATTTGGAGGTTAGGTTTTTGTCAAGTACCAGATACGATACAGCAGGGAATATATTTTTCCCCATTTAGCAGTTATAGTGCTTGTATGGATATTTTTTTAACCCAACATCATATTTTGTTGTCGTTATAAAAGCTCTTTCTCTCCTGGGATGGTTTCTGACAGGCTCACGTGTGCAGTCTCTTCAGAGATGACATTTTATTTTCTTTGGCAAGCACTGCAGTTTGTTGACAATTTTCATTAGGAGACAGAAATTAGATAATGTTCTCTGCTACAACTCTTATTTCAACCACAAATAAAAAACAAACCTACTACAATTTCACTGTATGTTTTCAACTCAGGGCCAAGTAGTGATCTGATGTTTCTGTTCTCACTAAGACAAAACCACTATAAAGTACGAATCTTATATTGATCTCTCAGATTTGACCCTTCTTCATTGGGGAATAAAACTCTTCCTACTTCCTCTTCACTTTTGTAGTTGTACCTCCTACACACGTTCTCTTGCAGTCAGATTTCTAAGCTCTTTAGAGTAGAAATCATCTATTGTGGTATGCATTTACACAACACGAAGATTCCAGGGGCTCTCATTAGCTATAATAATACAGGAAAATTGTAAGTGAAGGTAGGTGTAAGGAAAAGGTTTCCCTATAATAGATACTTCTGTAAAAGGTTTCACTATTCAGAATGGTGAAAATTAGACTGTTTTCTCATATTGTCCTATATTATTTCTAATATATTTTTCAGCCACCAAGCAGCTTATCAACCTAAGAGTTCAGGCAATTCTGCATACATTTACTTACCTCAAACAAATTACAAAAATAACCGCCCTTACATTAAAGTGAATCAAAGCAAATCTACAAAATTAATCTTCTTAAAAATTGGGGAAATCAGCCATTGTCTAGCTGAGCACCTGGCAGTGTTTGAAACTGCAAAAGCAACACGGGCCATTCAAACCAGAGAACACCTGTTCTAATGGAAACATTAAATCTATGTGAGAAAAAGACAGCCCCAGAGTTGGCAAAGCCAGTGTTAGGGGGGATGAATTTGATCTAGGTAATGAAACATTTTCTTTACTGTCAGATTACAGAGGAATTACTGAATTAGATTAGAATGATGTGCAATTTCACTACCATCTCTTTATAGAAACAGCCTTCTACAGATACTTGGAAAACCAAAATACCTGCATATTCAAAAACTTTGCATATTCAACAGTTCTTCTAAATATGGTCTCAAACTCCATCAATCCTTGGTTCGGGGTCTTTCTGAGCGAGAGGTTGTATTTGTCTTTAATATTTCTCAATACTTTTTTAAGTTCTTCTATGTATTCCTTTCTATTCTTTCAGCAGCCACAGAATACTATGGTAAGCAAGGAGCTCCACAACCTAACACTGCATGAAGAATCACCACTTCTTGCTTGCTTTGAGTATGTTGTGGGAGTCTCAAGTATAATAAAACATCAGTCCTTCCCCCACATTTATTGAGTTAAAACAAATTACAACAACTGAGGAGTCGTCTTTTTCCCAAATCTTCCAGCAGACTTGCTTGGTTTTGTACTTCCTTGTACTATTTTCCACATCTTCTAAAAGCTACAAAATATGTAGCTAAGAGATGTGAAGGGAAATGTTCTCTAGGCATCAAACAAATTTGATTTGTGTTGATATTGGTATGAGATTCTAACCTACAGGACCCTACTTGCCTATTTAGATCTAACAGAATTACAAAGTTGAAAACTTCTGCTATTAACTCACATGTTTAGCACAAACACAATAAGCTGTTAGCAGTTTCATGAAGTACTACATCTGGATGAGCTTGGGAGATGCACTTTAACAAAACTGTATTCCAAAACACCCGTTTCCTTCATGAACACTGTATTTTCCCTGAGATCTTCCCAGCCAAAAACGTGGCTCTTATGGCTGAATTAAGCTTATTTGGCTGTTCAACCTAATGGTTAACAAAGCACATCATCAAACAGATGTCACTAGCAAATGCAAATTTGTATTAAAGAAAGAAGCCCTTATCCCCACCAATGAGCAATGAATTCTGTGCTTCCCAGAGCTACCTTTATGCTCACTGAACTCACCAAAGACACTCAAAGTAATCTTATATATCATCCAAGACATCTAAGAAACAGTTACTCATTTAACATC